AATACCTGTATATGTTTTCCTTTTTAATTTAGAAAATTGATGCTATAATCGCACTGACCGATGATCGACGCTGACGATCTTCCCCTCGATGTTGTTTCTCATGACGTACTCGTCCTGCACCGCCTGCACCATACTGAGTTGCAGCAACGTCGTCGGGATCCGACTCGGGGTCACGACACCGACAAAGATCCACGAATAGCCCCTCCGACGAGTTGGTCGAGACGACGTCGACGTTGTCGTCAGTGTCGATATCGACGTCGACGTCGAATTTGTCGCAGCCGGCGAAGTCGAACCATCCCCGTCTTGCTCCGCATCCGATGACGTATCGCCGCTGTTGCCGCCGATACTGCTGCTGTTGTTTCTCGTCGTTTTTCCCGCACGTCCTGCTGCTACGGCAAACATGGAAGAGACGCAGGGAAACGAAAATAAATAAATAAATAAATGAACGAAAGGTAAGCAGGGAAAAGTAATCATCATCAACACCGAGCGAGACAAGTTTACTGTTATTCCCCTGCACGCAAAATTACTGCCAGGGTAATCAGAGTCAAGTTCCATTGTGGTGCGCATAAAGCTTCGCACTTCGGCCTCGACGCGACATGCTTTTCGATTTAAGCCGACGCGTTGTATGAGTCGTGCTGGACTCTGTGAATATCCCGTGAAATGTTCCGAAGGTTAAAAGAAAACAAAAAATACTGTACATACATAAGTCCTACCTTGTTGAGAAAATTTCGAGCACTGAAGCATGCAACGGCATTTCTCACAATAATTTCTCGAATATAAGTCACCCAAAAATTTCTAATATATAAGGCAGAGAAAAATAATAATACCTGGTCGCCAATTTTCACTTGTTTTTGCTTGACTTTGGATTCATGAACTTTTACGCAGGACAAAATAAATATTAATAAGTCCCATTTTGTTGAGAAAATTCTGATCAACGAAACATGTAACACAATTAATTACACGTTCGCATCGGTTGCCCAGAAAATTTCAATTTAAGGTGACAAAAAACCTTGGTTGTCCATTTTTGCTCATTTTCTTTGACCGAGGCTGGCTATGGATGTCATTAACGTTTCCACAAGATAGAAAAAAACATAAATACTGTAAGTTGTCAGGCCGATTGATGACAAATAAAATAGAGAGAAAGAATAACGCAGTCACTCAGCCTTTAACGGCCGGATCCTCTTTAGCAGAGTCCCTTTAGAATAATCAGCTTTATCCAGACACGCACAAACCACAGAAGGATAAAAGGTACCCAGAGGTACAAACAATCGCGCTAGGACGCAAATACAGATTCCACAGTCAGGAAACCCACAAGCTCTCAGACGTAGCTCTCGAGATGTAATAATCTTCTTCCCGAAGCCCCGAAGGCTTCGGGAGCCGGCATTTGCTGCCGGAAATGATTATCTTTGTTCTTGACCCGGTTTACCGCAATGCGGTAAACCGGGTGCCCTATCCGCTTCCGGGTTGGCATGTAGGAGTGCTGTGCGGTATACCCGAGCGAGGATGCTACGCTCGGGTTGCCGCGTGAACGCGACCCCACATAAGTCGTAAATAATTGATAAAATTGTGAGCAACGAAGCATGGAACGGATTTCTCACAAGTCTTCCAATAAGTCACCCATACATTTCCAGTATGAGGCAGAGGAAAAACTTTTTTTCATCAATTTTTACTTATTTTTGCTCGAATTTAGATTTCAGGAACTTTTACGCGGGATAAAAAAATTGAATAATAAATGCCATTTTGTTGAAAAAATTCTGATCAGCGAAATACGGACGGAATTACTGTAATCCGCAACAGTCATTCAGAAAATTTCAATTTAGGCAAACATAAAAAACGTGGTCAATTTCTACTAATTTTGGCTTCGCCGAGGCTGATGTTATTAACTTTTCCACAAGATAAATTAAAACACAAAGAATTCCAATGTTGTTGAGAAAATCCTAATCAAGGAAGAGTATATGAACACCTTTATTTCACAAGTTCGTCAATTCACCAACAAATCTCCAATTTGAGGCAGAAAAATCCTGGTCATCAATTTTCAACTAATTTTGTTTGATTTCGGCTGACCGTGATGGATATCATGAAATTTTCCGAAGAAATAAAATTCAAATAAATTCAACGTTGTCGAGAAAATTGTGAACGACCAAGCAGCAAGGACTTCATCCCAAGCCCACCAATTCAACCACGTATATTCCATTTGAGGCATAAAAAATGGAGTCAATTTTTTGCTTTTTGTTGTTGTTGGTTGAGTATGTTTGGATTTAGATGTAATGAACTTTACCACACAATAAAAATGTAAACAAGACCGACCTGAATAATAAAATTCTTATGCAACAAAGGATTCCTACAATTCCGCGAGGTCACCGACCAATTTTCAAATCAAGGCAGTGAAAACCTAGTTCTAAATTATACCAATATTCAGCTGATTTTCGAGAGGACGTCAAATCGAATGACGTACGCATGAATTTTCATTCAAATCGGAAATTTTAATAAAACAGTAATAAGCAATTTAAGTTACGGCAGCACATCAGGAAAATTTTTGAAAAATCCCTCACATCTGCTCTTTCGTTGGATAAGTCATCAAAAGATTCACGAGTGACTCGCAAAACTTTTGAAAACCCCCTCGATTAAAATTTTCCATTAGCTAAAAAATCTTTCCTCGTGTCCTTAATCAGAATGAAGATTATAATAGAAACCGAAACAAGTTATGAACATTTTTTTTCTTTTCCCCAAATGTCTGCCCTGCGATGCAAATCTGCAGAAGTTATGAGTTGTCTTTTATCCGTGTAAGGAAAGCATTACGTATTCGAGGCATGTCAGTCTGAAAAATCCGAGACATGAATTTTTTTTCTTTTCCCCAAATGTCTGCCCTGCGATGCAAATCTGCAGAAGTTATGAGTTGTCTTTTATCCGTGTAAGGAAAGCATTACGTATTCGAGGCATGTCAGTCTGAAAAATCCGAGACATGATATCGAAAAGAAGCTACGACTTATACATTCACAAACCGTCCGAGGTTTTCCCAGTTTTTAAGAGGGAAAACTATCCGATGAAAAGAAGTGCATCACAAAAACGTGGTTGGTTTTCTCTCGTCATGGCTGCTGTTCGCCTGGTCTCAAAGTTTCCTTCCGAAGTGCTATTCCTTTCAGTAATAATTTTTTCATCAAAACTGCCGAGGAATCTCAAAAGTCTCCACTATGTTTTACAAGCGAAGCCTTTCAATTCCATCTTGAAAACTTATGGGTTCGGAAAAAATTTAGCAAGAAAACGACATACGAGTGTGGAATTCATCCTGAAAATTCGTCTTACGTTATTTCGCCGTTCTTGACAGTGAACTCTGTTTTTTTATTTGGTTTTGCGCTCACGTTTTCAGTGAATAACAAAGTTACACTTTTTTGAATAGCTGTCAGTTTAATTCAAAGGGACGACGACTGTGTTTTATCCTCTCATCTTTGAACCAAGTTTTGTTACAACGCTCTCTTACCAATCTTGTGGGAAAATTAGGTTTTACCACAAAGATAAAAATGAATACAACAGCGATCAGCCGGGATGTTGCTGGGGTTCGTATACATAACTAGCTAAGTTACGTATATCTAAAACGACTGAAAGTTCTACGACATAAGATCTCAAATATAAGCTAAAAGTCTTATTCGGCATCAACAAAGTGAAGGTCCTTCAAGGGTACAAATGACTGATTGCCATACATTGACTTGCGTTAACTTATTAATATTTTGCTTTTGCTTTGCCTATACATGAAAATTTACGTAAAAAGATTAAAATGTAGACTTGTTTTCCACTTCAACTTGGATTTTTCATTCATATCTGAATATAATACCCGCGCGTACGATGAGATAATGCCACGAAAAAAAAGAAAGAAAAAACGCCATCCTGGAAGTAAACTCAGTTTTTCCAAGAATATCCCAAATATTTAAGAATTACTGACCAGCATATAGACGAGATGCGTATTTCAGCCGCAAATTTTCAAACGATTCTGGAACTGTTCAAACTTCATTTAATTACAACTGCTATTTAATGACATCAAGAGATCCAGAACTGAAAAAAAATTATGCAAGTTCTTGTCTGATCTTTGATGAATTTCTATGGAAGTCCTAAATGTTTTTAAATACAGTACGTCCGTCTTCAGTTAAGTATGTAAGGGATTTTGTTGCAGAGGTTCTATAGGCAACATGATCTTAATTTTCCAAGTTTCTCGAAAAGAAATCCTCATAGTCCTGGTTTAAGAAAACAAACACTGATTACCGATATTGATCTGAAGAATATTGACGCAATAATATACACTAAAATCCACAATGTTTGTCTAGAATATTCGCATTAAGTTCCCTAAATTTACCGACGACTTTCGATAGAAATCTCAGTTCTTTTTTTATCAGATAAAAAGAAATAAGCTGCTGGAAGAAAACTTACATGATTCACAGGCACCTTCATTTCGTCATAAGGAATTTGTAAAAATAAATAAATAAAATCACAGTCAATGTGATGCCCGGTTGATCCAATTTTCAATTGTACGTTTCTGCTTTGGCCATTCTTTAGAGCGATCGTGTTTCTTCGAGCAGACTTCGTCTCTTTTCTTGGTTATCCGGGTACTAGGAGCTGTTTACTTGAAGGCAACTCCACTTCCCTTAGGACGCCAGTGTGGATCGGGTTATCTGGCTTTTGAAATGCAACCCATAATCACTACGTTGGAAAATGGGTGGAAAACTCATCAATCATCCCAGTGAGTTTTTGGGGCTGCCAAGTGATGTGTTGATGCCGAAAATGCGTGTCTCCGGGTTCCGTCTGGAAACTCCGGAGCAGAACCCTTTGATTTTGTCGTCGCCACATCATACTCAGACAATGCGTTTCGTTAACACCTTTCGCGCTTGAATGAGAGGGTGAATGAAGGAATAAATAAATGGAGCTCATGAAGAAAAACAAATGTTTGAAAGGACAACGTCTGGAAATCTGACTGGTAAAACCGAATGAAAGACATATTTGGAGCGACAACGAACGTGAATAGATGCTGGTAATGAAACCCTCAATGCTATACGCTCAGATTGGCGGTGTCACTTTCGTTCGCATCCCGAAAGGGTGCCTTCAGAAAAAAAAAAACCGAAAAATTAAACAGAACTTTCAAAACGTACCGGGGATTACACTACTCTATAGGCTGAAAGCATAAACTTTCAATACAATTTAAACTCTCTACAGGGTCTGTATATAACGAGTTTTTAACGCACGTTTATGAAAATCACGTGGTTCTTATTCCCTTATGACGTCACTCACCCTCCATTGCACAACTAATTTTTCCAGCATGTTCCGTTGCACAAAAGACGTTTTTCCTCGATTTTCCTTGAAATATCAAAGAAATCGCTCAAGTTACAATTGAAACATTTTAATCCATTCCAGGCATA